GGATGACCTGGGACATGGGGACACTTAGGGGGGGCCTGGGACATGGGGACACTTGGTGGGCCACCCTGGGACATGGGGACACTGGGGATGGAGGCAGTGGGGGGGGTCCCTGGGACATGGGGACACTTGAGGGGCGGCCTGGGACACAGGGGAGGGAGGCAATGGGGTGGCCCTGGGGACAAGGGGACACTTAACCGTCACCACCCTCCCCGCTGTCACTGGTGGGGACAAAGACCGGCCACCGCGACACCGTTCCGGCACCGCCGGCTTTCAGAGGAACCTCTTCCCCACCCTGGGGGGACACTGGGTGACAACTCCGGGCGCTGCGAAATGGGGAAAAAATAAAAAATCCCCAAATTCCCATTTTTTTGACGTTCCCATTTTTTTTTTTCCTCCCCCCCGCAGGAATTCAGCCGGTTTTTCCAGCGCCGGTACAACCAGAGCGTGTGTCTGTCGGATCGGATGGAATTCCTCAACGGCTGGTACATCCTCCTGGTCATCAGCGATGTCCTCACCGTCCTGGGGACAATCATGAAGATCGGCATCGAGTCCAAGGTATGCTCCAGGGGTGGTGGCACCGATGTCCCCTTGCTCCGGGGAGGGGACATTTCCAGGTGGCAGGAAATTTGGCTACGGAACAGCCCCCATCCTGGGCGCTGGCTGCGTGTTTTCTGCCCCAGTGACACTGTCCTAGATGCCACCAGACGTGGGTTAGGGGACAGATGTCACTCCTGAGGGGTTCTGGTCCCAAGTGGGGGCCTTTGGGGACAGGGAGGTGGCACCAAAGGGACAGTCAGGGTCCTGTCTTGCTGCTGTGGCACCAAGATGTCACTTGCCGCTGGCTTGTGGGCGGTGGAGAGGGTTGGTGGGGATGTCAGGGGTGGCCTTGGGGACGTCAAGGGTGGCCTTGGGGAAGTTGGGGATGGCCTTGGGGATATTGGGGATGGATGGCATTGGGGACGGCATTGGGGACGGCGTTGGGGATGTCGGGGATGGCCTTGGGGACGTTGGCGATGGTCTTGGGTTGGGCACGGCATGGATGGCCTTGGGGAGGACGTCATGGATGGCCTTGGGGATCTTGGGGATGGCCTTGGGGACATCAGGGATGGCCTTGGGGACGTTGGCGATGGCCTTGGGTTGGGCACGTCATGGATGGTGTTGGGGACGTCGGGGACGGCCTTGGGGATGTTGGCGATGGCCTTGGGGACGTCAGGGATGGCCTTGGGGACGTCGGGGATGGCCTTGGGGACATTGGGGATGCATGGCGTTGGGGACATTGGGGATGGATGGCCTTGGGGATGTTGGGGATGGCTTTGGGTTGGGGACGGCATGGATGGTCTTGGGGACATCGGGGATGGCGCTGGGGACATTGGGGATGACCTTGGCAACATTGGGGATGGATGGCCTTGGGGATGTTGGGGATGGTGTTGGGGACATCGGGGATGGCCTTGGCGACATTGGGGATGGCGTTGCTGATGTCAGGGATGTCATTGAGGACATCAGGGATGGCGTTGGGGATGGCGTTGGGGACGTTGGGGATGGCCTTGGGTTGGGGACGTCATGGATGGCCTTGGGGACATCGCGGATGGCCTTGGGGACATCAGATGGCGTTGGGAACATTTGGGATGGTGTTGGGGACGTCGAGGATGGTGCTGGGGATGTTGGGGATGGCCTTGGGGACGTTGGGGACAATGTCGGCCGTGCTCCAGGGCTGTGACGCTTCTGTCCCCGCAGAACTTCGCCAGCTACGACGTCTGCAGCATCCTCCTGGGCACCTCCACGCTGCTCGTGTGGGTCGGCGTCATTCGCTATCTCACCTTCTTCCAGAAATACAACGTGAGTGTCACCGGGGAGGGGACCTGGACTGGGAATGACCTTGGGTGGGCTCCAGCTTGTCCTCAATGTCCCCAAGGTCCCCAGCAGAGCAGGACAGGGGGTGTCCCGAGGTGCCGTTTAGCGGGGATGAATTCCGCGTGATTTATTTTTAATTTTTTTTTTTTTTTTTTGTCTCCGCCAGATCCTCATTGTCACGCTGCGGGTGGCTCTACCCAACGTCATCCGCTTCTGCTGCTGCGTCGCCGTCATTTATCTCGGCTACTGCTTCTGCGGCTGGATCGTCTTGGGACCCTACCACGCCAAGGTGCTTCCCCGCGGCGATCGTCGGGGTGGGGTGGGGGGATTTCACCCCAAAAATCACCTGGATTTGGGAAGAGACGCGACACGTTAAGAAATAACGTCACGGTGCCACGTAGGGCGGCGGGGATCTCTCGGGATGCTCCGGCGTGCCACCAGAAGGGGTGACATGGTGTCACCTCCCGACCCTTTGTCACCTCCCGACCCTTTGTCACCTCCCCACCCAGTTCCACTCCCTCTCCATGGTCTCTGAATAACGTCGCCGTGCCACGTAGAGCGGCGGGGGGATGCTCCGGCGTGCCACCAGAAGGGGTGACATGGTGTCACCTCCCGACCCTTTGTCACCTCCCGACCCTTTGTCACCTCCCCTGGCAGTTCCGCTCCCTCTCCATGGTCTCCGAATGCCTCTTTTCGCTCATCAACGGCGACGACATGTTTGTGACGTTTGCGGAGATGCAGCAGAACAGCCGGCTGGTCTGGCTCTTCAGCCAGCTCTACCTCTACTCCTTCATCAGCCTCTTCATCTACATGGTGCTCAGCCTCTTCATCGCCCTCATCACCGGCTCCTACGAGACCATCAAGGTGAAGATCCCAACCTTTCACCCACATTTCGGGGCTTTGCAGACAAATTTGGGGGCTTTTCTTTGATTTTCAGCAAAATTTTTGGGGTTTTTTTTTTTTTTTACAGCAAAATTTTGGTTGGTTTTTTTTTTTTTTCCCACGAAATTTTGGGGCTTTTTTCGTAGAAATTTTGGGGCTTTTTTTTTAGAGAAATTTGGGGGCTTTTCTTCTTCAGCGAAAATTTGGAGCTTTTTTTTTTTTTCAGCCAAATTTTGGGACTTTTTTTTTTTTCAGTGAAATTTCGGGAAAAAAACGCAAAATTTTGGGGCTTCTTTTTTATTTTCAGCCAAATTTGGGGCTTTATTTTTTTTCAGCCAAATTTTGGGCCTTTTTTTCAGCAAAATTTTGGGGCTTTTTTTTGTTTTTCAGCCAGATTTGGGGGATTTTCTTTTTTTTTTTTTCAGCAAAATTTTGTGTCTTTTTTTTTTCAGCGAAATTTGGGGCCTTTTCTCTCTTTTTTTTTCATTTAATTTTTTCATTTTTCCTGCCCCGCAGCACCAATGTGAGGGCGAAACTCCCGTCTCCCAGCTCCACGCCTACATCGCCCAGTGCAAGGACAGCCCCAAATCG